GGCCCCCGCAAGGAGTGGATGGAAACAGATAGAGAATAAAGTTGGGGCACCTTCTTCATGTTATTTCCTTTAAGTATATGTTTTTCAGAGTTTCCAGAAGGCGGTTCCATGTGCTTGTCTTTTTAAATTTTTTTCCCACTGCAGTATCCCCAACACGTGAAATCATGCTTGACACATTCTTTGAGCTCAGTAAACACAGGGCAGGGTAAAAGTAGGTTTACAGTTGTGAGTACTCCTGTCTTGTCACTTATTAATGATTGTATTACTTTCCATATGAACAGCTGTAAACCTACTTTTGGGGTCACTTCTCGTGCTCTCACACTCACCTTTGCTTCCGAAACAGGGGCTACCTGGCTCATCCTTTCTCTCGTAGGAGGGGGGGAGTGCAGTCCCAGAGGGGGCTTCTCTGGATGAAACCCACTCCTGTGTAGCGTTGTGAGATGAAAGGACACACACGAAGACCGCATCTTGCAGAGTGAGCTCACCATGAGCGGTGCATAAAGGTGTGTTAATCCTTAGAAACGAGAAGCTCAGGAACACTTGGGACTCCCACGTAAGCATGGCTGAATTTCAGGCTCCCTTTTGTGCACTGACACCCCCCCCCCAAAAAATCCTGTCGTCCTTCCGGGGGCAGGATTTTGGGTGAACCACAGTGGGCCAGTATGGCCTTTGACCCTCTCCCCCACTGTTCACCTACCTTGGCCAATCGATGGTGATATCAGGGTTTGTGGATACAATAACAGACACACTTTACAAAGACATAACCGGCCTACCCAGTTATGATCATTTAAAAACAGAAACACTTGACTCCGGTCATTAAATCAACAACAGTATTTCATGTCACTTATATACATTATCAAGTAGTTAGCATCATGCTAAACAATTTCCATATCTTACTTCACTTAATCCTCACACTGTTTCTGCTGAGTTGAGGTTCCTGCACTCACTTCTCAAACACGAAAATAAAGGCTCGGGATGCTAAGCAACTCGTCTAATGTCAGGAACAGAGTTAGGCTTCAAAACCCAAAGTCTGGCACTCTGCGCTCTCCCCGTAAGAGAGAGGATGCGTGGGTACCTCGAGCCCAGTGGATCTCTGAAAATAATTTCTGCAACGGCAAACCTGCAATTCATCTTAATTTTTCCCCTGATGTTCTACAGTGTCACTGCCGATTTATCCCATCACTTTGGAATTAACGGCTAATAGGATGGCCTAGCTCACCGTTCTGGCTGCCGTCTCATTCTATAGGAGAAACCAACCGTTGATAGCAACAGGGGCGTGTCTCCACACTGCAGTCACACCACGACTCTTCCCCCGCCCCTTGTTGGTCGGGAGGCTAATTCTTACTTCACTTGGTCTTGAAAACATGTTTGGTTTCAGCAGAGAGGGGGAGACTTACCTGTGCTGGATGTTCTGAGGCATAAAAGGGCCAGAGGGCCCTTGAGTTGGGGGAACTCTGCATCTTCTTGGTGGTTGCTGCCTTGGTCATTTTGGAAATCCTTCAGGCTTAGCCTGTGTCCCCAAGGGAAGAGTTTTTCCAGAATCTTCTACCGCAGCAGCCACGGGTGTGAGACGCGCCAGCAATTTCACCCTGACTCCCAACTGCCAACTACAGACTCCAAAGAGGTTTCTGACCCAGGTGTAATGGAAACCAAGTCATGAGGGTTTCCCACCAACAGGGTGAGGAAATCCAGCCGGAGCGGGTGAAGAAAGCCTGGAATTCTTCACTTGTTTAGAAAGTTACAAACTTTTATGAGCTTTCCCACTCCCTGACAAGGAGTATCTTTCTCTCTTATAAACAAAAATAAAATATGAACTAAAAAAATAAAACTCCACTGATAAAGTCCGAGGGGGGCCCATGGAGGGGCCCCCGGATCCCCATTTTAAGGCGGCCCCAGCCTGCAGCTCAGGTTCCCCGGTACCAGGGAGAGAAACCGCCAGGGGCAAACTGCGAGGCTGGGCCCGCGCGGTTGCCTGGCAACGGGACGCCGAAGCGGGCTTCCTCATTGGCTGGGACTGGTGGGGGCGTGGTTGCGAACTCTGGCTGCTGGGATGCTGGCTGGGAGCAGGTGGCTGGCTAGAGAGCCCCCCCTTAGGCCTGAGGACCTCGACCCTTCTGTCTGTCTAACTACAAGCAACTAATTCCCTTCCAACTCTGTCCTGCCCTGCTACTAACCCCCTAGTGATTTCCTGTGTCTTGGGTTGGGAAGCTAGGTGTGTGCCTTTAGCCTTGCAATTACCTTAACCTGAGATTCCCATCTCTCTTCTCTATCCACCTGACAAACTCCTACTCATCCTTCAAAACCTACACACACACACACACACACACATAGACATGTATGTCTGTATCACATTTATTGAGTGCTTAGAAAGTACTAGACACTGCTCTGTTTTACATATATTAACTCAATCCTCACAAAACGTCTTTAAGGAAGGTATTTTTATGACTCTGTTTAACAGACTGGAAACGGAGGCACAGACAGATTGAATGACATGCTTAAGGCTCCCCCTCCCCCCACCTGAGGTACCTGAGCTGGGATCCAAAGCCAGACCTGTTTGATTTCTAAAACCCAAGCTCTTAACCACCTAACTGCACGACTCCAGATAAGATGCCTCGTTTCGCTGAGATTTGGCTCCCATAGCTTTGAAATGGGGAAAACAACTTTACCCCAGGTTGTTGAGGATTAAGACAGATAACGTATGTAAAGGCTGAATACACGAGGAATCCAAGTTAAGTGGCAGCTATCATTATCTTCTGACACCCCATCCCCATGAAGAATTAGTCATTTTTACAGTGTTCATTTCATAGCAGATATTAATACTAATATTTATCGATCACTCGCTCTGTGCCAGGTGCTCTACTAAGCGCTTTATATACATTAATTTATTTAATCCTTCCAATAACCCTGTGGGATAGGTTGCCAGCTTGCAGAAGATTTACTACATGTGATCATTTGCATGCTTTATCCTTGGCATTATTTCACACTGGATCAATCTAACTCATATTTTACCCCTCCACCTTGAACTGCTGAGGATTATGATGTCATCATGGCCACACGGTGACCTCACCTTCTCTTTAGAAGGCCGCCTGCTGCAAGATGATCCTCCACAGAATACAAAATGCCTACCCACACAGCTCCAGAGGCGGACACTTGGAAGTCATTATTTTCCTGCCTTTGTCTGAAGACCGAGTCTGACCTTCCCTTTCACGGGAAGTTTTGCTCCTTCCCGCTTCCTTCGTGGGCAGCATTAGCAATCAGCAAACGTTTCCAGAAGGATGCAGATAAGCTGAATCATGTTCAGAAGATGGGGCTGGGGCGAGAAGCGATAAGAAAACAAGAGGATAGGACATGTTTTGCCTGGAGCAGAACAGACAGAGGGTTGTATTTGCATGGCCTTGAGGGATGGGCTTGGGGAAGAGGGACTCAGCTAGTTTGATGTTCAACCAAATAGGATCACATTCTGACGTACTGCGGGGTTAAGGCTTCAACATATGAATTTGGGGGAGACGTAGATCAACCCATAACACTGAGCTATCAAAGCTCATAGCACACACAGTGTTAGATAGAACTCACTTTATTTCCCTCAAAGATTTCAAATATCCCCACCTTCTGTGAATTTTCTGTGGCATCATGGGGTACCTTGGTGCATAGTTTGGGAACCACAGGGCTATAAGAATGTTTTCTGTCTTTAGGCTGAGCAGCCTGGACATTTAAGAAGTTAAAAACCATGGGAGTAGACTAATGGGAGTGTGTGGATAGATTTCTCACCTCCTCGCCCCTCGGGCAGGACATTTCTGGAGCGTGTCCTATATTCCCTCAGAGGTCCCCTTCAGGACTGACTTAGAGATAGCCCTGTTGGCCGCTCACCAATGACCCAGCATTGACTTCTTCCCTTTTCCTGTTTTGCCTCCCCCCTCCCCTTCTGGTCCTGCCTGGGTGACCTCCTAAATAAACCACTTAAACCCAACATGTTGTCCCTGGGTCTGCTTCTGGGGAACCCAACCTAGGTCAGTGTTGAGTGGAACAACCAGGAGGTCAGACTTGAGCCAGATCCTGAAGTTTCCCTGTCCCTCCTCTTGTTGCATGAACTTGCCGCCGCCTTTGACTCCCTGGCCCGTGATCACCGCCTCACCCACCGCTGCTCTCATGGTCTCTCAAGGAGCGTCTGGCTGTTGGTCTCATCCCTTCAACACTGAAAGGGCAACACGTTCTCAGCTAGGCAAACACAGCCCCCCAACGGCGAAACATTTGACAACTAAGAGGCAAAGTGATTGTTTAATTCTTAATTCCTGGTTGATTTATGCAAAATATAGACCGAGAGACATGAAATGACAGGCATCCTCTCCTCCTAATTTGCCGAAACGCAAGGCATCCGGAAGCATTTGAAATAGATGTGTCACGTAGAAGAGTGTTTTTGGAATGTGTCGGACACCAGCTGGGGTAGCTGAAGTGAAATCTCAAAATCTGCTCAACACAGCAAGTTTCAGTCAATAATACATATGTTTGGCATTAAAAACCTATTGGAAAAGTCATCATTTAAAAAAATATCTTTGAAAGACTTTTCTGGGTGGCATCCAGCACCCAGAGCACTCCTTCTGGGTATTTTTACTGAGATGTCAGTATTGAATTTACAAATTGTGGAGCCCAGGGCAAGAGTAAAACTTGGGGCTCCCCTGGCACCTGGTAGTAGCTGGCAGTCTGCTGATGAATCACTGCCCAGATGAAATAACGCTGTGTAGTGTGTGTGTGCACCACCTCCTGGGGTTCCTGTACCTCCTCAGATTAAAGAGTAGTCACTGATTGCTTCCTTGCCTCTTGGGGGCTCTGTGGTTCCATCTCACGGTCCTACCCCATCCTCCTAACCACACCCCAAGAGGGGGAGGTGAATATGGATTTTTGTAAACAAAGAGAAGGATATGTAATGCTAACATCTGGCTCTTCCTCTTTGTCTCTTTACTTTGGTCCAGGAAGGAGTGGGCTTCCAGGAATGTTCTTAGTGAATTCTCCCCCTGGAAATCTAGGATGCGCTCCAAGCGATTTTCATCGATGATGCTTTCCATTTTCACATGCTTTAGTCACAGCGTGCCTGGCTGCAGGACAGATTAGAGAGAGGGAATTATTCTTCCCATTTTACAAAGGTGGGAATGGAAGCTCTTGGGATTTAGCAATGTGTTCATGGTAGAGGTTGCCCGAGAACCCAGGTTTTATGATTCCAAATCTCCTATGAGATTTGGCAGTCTCTCATAGGCTTGATGGTCTTGCACTTAAAGGTGTGTGTGTGTGTGTGTGTGTGTGTGTACAACAGGTTATCTGTGCAAACCCTGCCAAGACAATTGGGATTTCCAAGCCATCTGGAAGACTTTGACTTCTCTAGCCTTCTCAGGGGGAGCTCTTGCTTTAACGGCCACATAAGACATCTCAATCCCCGATCGCAGGCAGGAAAACAGTTCCTTGCCAGTATTCCCATGGATTTCCAAGTAGTTCATCGTTTCCTATTCAGTACATGCTCTGGCCTGCCTCCCACCTGTGTAGGTAGAATCATGACCTCCCAAAGGATACGTTCAAGTCCTAAACTCTGGTGCCTGTGAATGTGACCTCATTTGGGAGGAGTGTCTTGGCACATATTATCAAGTTAGGATGAAGTCATGCTGGATTGGGGGGGGCCTAGTCCCATGACTGCTGTCCTTAAAAGAAGATTGAAATTTGCAAATAGAGATGGAAGACACACAAAGAGAACGACACGTGACGACAGGCAGGGACTGGGGTGATGCATCTACATGCCAAGGAATGCCAGGGACTGTCAGCAACAGCTGGAAGCTAGGAGAGAGAGGGCCTCAGAGAGGGCATGTCCTTGCCAACGCTGTGATTTTGAACTTCCAACTTCCAGAACTGTAAGCAAATACATTTCTGTTGTTTTAATCCTCCTAGTCAATCGGAATTTGTTACAGCAGCACCAGGAAACAAACACACCACCCATCTTGCTCCAGCTCCATTTCCCTCCCCACCCCAACTGGGATAATAGAAGAACACAGCAGTACAGCTCCTCGGAGTCAGCAGCTTAAAATTAAACATTAGGCATCAGTGAATTTTCAATTAAATACAGATAAAGTTCCCAGGTGAGTCTAACACACAGGTAGGAACCCCTGCCACACATCCTGGTTGTGAGCTGCTTTTTCACATAATCATAAATAAATATCCTTCCATTTCTATAGATGCATTTTTAAACATGGTTTTTAAATGAGTGCTCACCAAAATGGAGTTCCGATTTTTATGGCTGTCCAATAGTTTGTCCAACCAGTTCCTTAGTTTTGAACGGGAACCAGTGTATGCTAGTCCTGGCTCTACAGTCGGGTTGTTTCATTTGGGTGGGACAATGTTTTCTTGGTTGCAGAGACCTGAAATCAACTTTAGCTGACTCTCCACCCGTCACAGTGGGGACCTAGCACCAGGGGGAACATAGCCAAGACCTCGTGTAGTGGACATTGGC